GTGTGTGTGTGTGCATGTTTCCAACAGCCCTCCCTCTCCTACCCACTAGAGAGAGGCATTGACTTACATTTAGACCAACAAATTATGATTTCAAACATGAAGTAAGTTTCATGTTCGAGGCTTTTACTATATTTCTGTGACGAGTATTTCTACTTTCTTTCTTAGATTTGATTTGTTTGTGTACAATTACTCAGTCGCAACTGCAGTTTGTAGTTTTATCTGATTATATGACGAAAAAAAGGTTGCTTGCAGAAATTCATTTAATTATATTCAAAACACATGAACATTTTGTCCTAAAAGACTAATTTCATGAGCAAATGTCTCAAAAGACTGTTTGTTGTTGCTGGATTTCTCCTCATATGTGACTTCAGATTGAAGAAAGAAAGAAAGAAAGAGCCACACTATATACATTGGTTGTCAACCACTTTGTAACTCTACAATACAATGAAGGTTAGATTGAAAAGAGGGCAGTAGATATATCACACCAATCATTATTACTACTTTAATATCAGACCAGAACAAACACTTTAAGCATAGAAAATGCAAGTTGTATTAATTATACCTCCCTCAAATTTCTAACTTCTTCGCTGACATATTTGCATTCAATAAAGTGAATTTGAATGCATTATAAGCTTTGGACTTTTTACAATCATTACATAATATTCAGTCTACGACAGTATCTTTTACCTCAGATCAAAGATCAAAGATTAGCAGCACCTGCAACAAATGTATCTGTGGTAGAGGAATGTGCTCCTAATGTGATGTTGCACAATTGACGAGTTAACCTATATACTAGATAGACACATACAGGGATCTCTTCTTTCTCACCCTACACACACCTCTTCAGCTGTAATGTGTAAGCTGCTAGCTGTCCTTGTGACCTCTGTCATAGTAAAGCATGGAATCAGTTTATGGACTCGCTGCTGAAATTGTCTGAAAGTTAATTTGGACATGCTGCAACTGTGCACCTCCTGAAACTGTGTCTTTTCTGAGAAGCTAAAGACAAATATCAGTGATAAAGCAACATTGTTGCTCAATCACAGTGATTTATTAATATATTAAGTTGAGGATACCTGAAGATGCTGTTGAATAAATGTTTAATTTACAGAGATCTATTAGGAAAGAAATTGATGAGTGCAGGTTTGTGCACATGTTCTACTATGTTTATGTACATGAGGAGCTGGGGATAAAGACAGTGGTTCGAAGTACACTCAGAGGCAGATAAGATCAGTGGCCAATGCATGTGCACACACACAAAAAAATAGCATGGCTGTCCTTTAAGTATTTAATCAAAGCCGAGTGCAGAGGGTTTTTTTTGCCATCAGAGCTCTTTGTGTACACTGTGTAAACAGGCATTCCTCACCAGATTACTACTGAGCCCTTTAAGACCACTAACACTCACACACCAAAATATGTTAATGAAACATATTAACAAAGTACTCACTCACTCTATACACTCAGACACAGTATATACCCTTCTTCTCTACCAAGACACATGCATCAGCCCTGATATGACCCTTTTGTTTTTTCCACTCCCTCTGTCACTCCCTCTGTTTTCCCCTCCTCTCTCATTTGTTCATTCTCTCATCTCCTCCCTCCTCTGAACCATATTATTTAATCAATAACTTTGAATGTGCATGTGTTGTATTTCTAAACCCAGATAGACCGACTGCCCCTCTTACCCTTGCTCTCTTTTCCCCGACTCCCTCCCTCCCTCCCTCCCTTGCCCCTTAGCTTTTCTCCCTTCTTTCCCTTCTCTCTTCATTTTCTGTGTTTGAATGGAGAAGATGGGTTCCCCGGAACCTGCACACCCGTCGCCGGGTGCAGGGCCCGTTGCTGGGGTTTCTGTTACCAAGACAGCAGGGGTTGAGGGAGACGAGGCAGTGGTAGCGGTCAGCTCCAAACTGTTTCGGTGTGCATGCGTTAGACGTTGGCTACCATTGGTCTACAGAGAAGAACTTTACCAAGTCTTACAGCTCACAGGCCCATTGGTGAGTAGGGGAAAGTTGAAGTGTTGGTGTGTGTGTGTGTGGTGGTGGTGGTGGGTGGGGTGATTGGTATGTTATTCATAAAGTGCCACATTGTTAATACATTCAGTTACAGTATTCCTTTGTTGCAGGTTTACTGTTGTGTGCACTGTGCAATCTAACACTGTATTCAGTGAAATACGCAGTTTCTAAAAGGGGAAATAAGGTGGTGCTGAATGTTAGTGCAAATCTGCCTGTGCTTGGAGATTTCACAACACTGCTCTCTAACTTGAAACTACTTTGCTGAGTACAGATAAGCTTTCTGAACCTTTCTTGACCTGATCAATGATTTGTTCTAAAATTAGCCCACTCTTTCTGTTTGTTTCTACAGCTGTTGTCCCGGATTTTGTACTTCCTCCTGCCATTTGTCATCACCATATTCTGTGGTCACATTGGAAATGCAGAACTGGCTGGATATGCGCTGGCCTCAGCGGTACTATCTTTACTTCTTTGTAGACTAATTGATTTTACCTGCTGCAACTAAAGTAGTAAAACTACTACCACCACGCCTTCTTTTCTACTTACTGTACTACTCTTACTGCTGTTTCTCCTACTTCTATTACTTTGACTGTAGTTTTCTCTATAAGTATGTTTTGATTCATGTATATGTGTGAACATTCACTATAATATGTAATGATAGTGGTTTGCCTTAATATATATATAATATATCTGTATTACACACACACACACACACTTTTCAGTGACTGGTGTGGTGAGTGATGTGGTCCCCAATGCTCATTTTGTGCACTGTAAGAAAAAGACTAAGTAATACTCTGACATTATATTCCAAAAGGGCGAAGACTAACAAATTCACATCAGCACAGTACAAACATGGAAATTATGGCTAAAATGAGTTGTGTAACTGTACAAGCAGACAAAAGTTTGTACAGATTGTTAAACACAAGAGAGGTGAAGCAATGTCTTAAATGAACACACATGATTTACTGAACGAAACATGCAATGGAATTAAAATATTTTTACAAACATGTCCACAACCAAAGAATTATGTCAGGCTAAGAGTTGTTATCGCTGTAATTCAACTTACAAGAAGGTAAGCTGTGTCTTTGTCGCTTTCATCCACGCTTCACCAGATGACGCCTGAACAATAAGATCTGATCGATCAACTGTTTCTCCAACTGGCAAAGACTCCCGACAATATAAAAATGTGAAATTACCAGTTATCTTTTTATTTGCACATAATTTGGTTCAGCAGAGATATACAGTTTGGTGTCATCTGCGGTATTTTCAAAGTAGGATATTAATACTTTTGCTAAATAAAGGATCTGATGCAAATTTGTTCACCTCTGGTTGCTACGGTGGCCCTGAGGTGCAAACCAAATGACCAACAGCAAATCAGAAAAACACAACAACAAAAGAGAAACCAACGGCAAATCAGAAAACAACGGCAAATCAGAAAACCACAACAGGCAAAAGAGAAAGCCACAACGGCAAAAGAGAAAACAAAACACAAAAAAGGAAACACAGACCGGAATCAGAGAAAACGCAACACAAAAAGAGAAAACCACAACGCAAAAAGAAGAAAACACAACGACAAAAAAGAGAAAACACAACACAAAACAGAGAAAACACAACAGCAAAAAGAGAAAAACACAACAACAAATCAGACAAACACAACGACAAAAGAGCAAAACACAACACAGAAAAAGGAAAACACACGGCAAAAGAGAAAATCACAACACAAAAAGAGAAAACACAACAACCCAAAAAAGTTAAAAAACAACGGCATTCAACAAAACGAGAAAGGTAGGTACCATCGGCGACCATGAATCGCGCTGATTGGACAAAACGAACTGGTCCTCCTTTTGAGACCGAAAGACAACACCGCAGCTTTTTTTCGTTTTTTTTTTTAAATAAAATCTTAGTAAAGTCTTGATGATATCAACCAGTAAGAACAATCAAGCGCAGAGCCAGCGGGACTTTCAGTTTTTTTGTTATTCTATAAGATCTTTATCTAAATCTTAAATAAACAATTCTGGTCTTTTCATAGTACATACTCGCAAGTGTAAAGAGCAATTGCCAGGGTGGAACATCATCAACATTGAGTGGCAAGCAACTCACAATAAGAACATGACGATTAGTGCTTCATACAATAAATTCGGGGCAATTTGAAATAAAATAAAAATTAACATCTCAAAATAAATAGTCAAAAATAAAATATATATAAAATAGAATAAATATTGGTTTCTAAGGGGGATTCAAATCAATTTTAACTATCCATTTCAGTGGGAATTTCTTTAAGTTATCATAATAATTTTGTGCCCTTCATTTCTGTTAGGAAGTTTCTAAAGATTCATTTCATTCATAAACAATAATTGGGTGATGACTTCATAACTCTATTCTTGTGGATGAAAAATGGGCTAAGATGTTGCAAGAACTTTGGAAGATAAATGGGTGCTCTACGAAATTGAACGCTTTTATAGAAGATCTAAAACGAAAAGAAAACCATCATGTTCAATGTGATTTCTATATTCGAATAATGTCCATTACCAGCGCGTCTATATTGTGTGTGGATTGATCTTCCTTTTAAGAAAACCAGACTGTGTTTCTGCGGTAAGGATTTGAAAGTTCCTGTCTGTGAAGACAAGTGGTGAAAATGTAAAGTGAGTAATTTATTAATCAGAGTTTTCTAAGAGAATAGGCCTTCTGTTTCTATGAATCTGGTCTTTGCCGGGCTTAGGAATTCGAGATGATGAGCCCATGTCTCATTGTGGATGTGGAGAGTATACAAGTTCAAAGTATTTCAGGAATACTTGATGTAGCAGTTTGTTTAATATCTTCCCAGAAATGTCATAAAATGTCTCCTGTGAGTCCGTCCGAGCCGCGGGCCTGTTAAAGAGATAGGCCGGCCAATTACTCTGTCCATTTCAGGTAATTGTTAATTTGGACTAGTCACATGTTTGGTTTTAAAGTTATCTTCTACTTTGGAATATATTTTTCTATATCCTTTAAGAATGTATGGCTTTGCTTTATTAGAAATTTAGAGTTAAAGCTGTTTATAAGAATTTGAGGATTTCTAAGGAGATTAATTTTGTTCTCGTGTTCTATATCAGTTTACTAATCAAGAACTGATGCTTATTTTTTCTCCTGTCTTCTTTTTTCAAGACCACGAAAAGTATGCTGAGTTTTTTTTCCCCCTCCTCTATCCATTTCTAGCTCTCCGTCTAAAAAGCCCCTTGTGTCTTTGAATATACATTTTCATCCAGTTAGTTGAAGATTTAATATTTTCTGTTTATCGTCTTCAGTAGGGTTGAGTTATTGCAGTAACATTTAATTGTACGGCTGTGCCAGACAAGCGGAGCAGCTGCGCACAGCAGAATTCTCCCGCGCATGGGTCTGGCGAACTCCCGCTGGCTCTGCGCTTGATTGTTCTTACTGTTTTTGATCGTTAAAGATTTAATAAAGATTTTTTAAAAAAAAAAAAAAAAAACGTCTGGCGGTGGTGTTTTTGCCGGTTCAAGAGGACGGGACCAGCTTCTTTGTCCAATCAGCGGACGATTCATGTCGCCCGATGGTACCTACCTTTCCTTTTGGTTAATGCCGTTGTGTTTGTCTCTTTTTGTGTTGTGTCTCTTTTGCCGTTGTGTTCTCCTTTGTCTTGGTTTTCTGAT